TCAGTTCCTTTTAACGTGCAGCCCAGAAGAATTAGGGTTTCAACTAAAAATACGTCCTTCCAGTTCCTAACAAGATCTTCTAATGAGAAGTTCTATCTCACCAGATTTCAAAAATAACCATAAAACTGGGTTAAAATGTTGTTTGCTTTGTTTTTGTTGTTTATTATTACTTCTCTGTTTTAATCCTGGGTAAAAAAGAAGTGGCATTTTCTTTGTTTTTAATAAAGAAAGAGACTTGGACAAATTTATTAGAAAATGTCAAAAGAGAAAACAATAAAGGTATAAGACATGCAGGATTATTACAAAAATGGCTTTCAAGAATAGCCTCCGGGGCTGGGGATTTAGCTCAGCGGCAAAGCGCCTGCCTGGCAAGCGCAAGGTCATGAGTTCGGTTCCCGGTACCGGAGAAAAACCAAAAAAAAAAAAAAAAAAAAAAAAAAGAACAGCCTCCGGCAGGGAAGAGGTGCGACTGGGTGAAGATAAAAAGGACCTTGAGAAGATGGAGGATTTCCCAGGGGACAAGGCTCAAAAGGAAGGATGAGGTGTCCTTGTCAGGACAGGAGGCTGAGGGAGTTCTCAGGAAAAGCAACGGGAGAGGTCTGAGGGGCAACAAGAAGTCTGAGGGTTGCTGGAGGGGGGGCAATGACTGACTGGGGTTAAGAATTTATAGGGAGTCAAGTGGAGTCCGAAGAGGACTGAAAGATGAAGAGAATAAAGAATGACTGAGGGGTGGGAGGTAATAAAGAGAGAAGATAAATCTGGCAGGAAAGAAGGAGTGGTGAGTTCGAAAAGACAGTGTGTGGTCAGGGCCAGCTCTGAGTTTTGGCAAGTTGAAGGCATCTTCCTTTTCCTCTGTGTGTACTACTAAGTACAACGAGTTCTTCTTTCAAAATGTTCTATTGCCTCAGTACCTGCTCTGGCTCCCATGGCCTTAGTATCAGTCCTGGGCACAAGTGTGTCATCTCTGGCCAGTCAGTGGTAGCAACTGGATCCCTTAGTCAAATACCAGTGACAAATGAGGAGGGCCATTCCCCCTTATTCTGCCTTGAGAACACAAACATCCTGTTAGTCCTACAAATCACCGAAAGGATGACCCTGCATAATATCCCGTTTCAGATGCCACTAGACAGAAATATTGCTAATAAGCTTCACACTCTTTCTCCAAGACTTTCCTCTCTTTCCTTCCATTTCTCACTACAGCAGGAAAAGCAACTTGTACAACTCCAAATGACTAGCAAGATGATCCAGACCATCTCCCTCTCTTTGAAATCAGGGAAACAGACTCCAAAAAAATACAGACATTCATACATTCAGCCAGCGGCCAAGCTGGCATGAGCATCGTGGTGCCCTGGGTCCTACACCAGGATTTATTCCTTCACCTCACCTCCAAAACCCTCACCCACTTTTTCCATGAAAACAAACTTTGCTTAAGATCCATTGTTTATATAAAAATCTGTCCTTGTTTCAACTCAACTTCTGGCTATGTATAAGGTTTTGCTTGTGCTTGTGTATTTATTTATTTTAGAACTTTTATCATTAGACTGTAAGCCCCTGTGAGCATGGACCACCTGGCTGCCCCTCTGCCTTCATAATCCAGTCCACCTCCCTGCCCTCTTTTGGACTGTGAGCCCCTGTGGAGCAGGGACTGTGTCTTACTGATCTGTGTGTCCTCAGCCCCCGGGAGAGTCCCTGGCACACAACACACCCTCAGTGAAAGTGTGTCTGACCTTAAGGTGGCTCTGTAGACCTGTATAGTGCATGGCCATAAATGTTATTGACTGCTGATTTCATTTTGCATATTGTACCTCAAGCAGTAGAAAGAGCAGATAAAAAGTAATTCCCAGAAACAGTTTGGCGATACCTCAAAAAGTTAAACAGAGCACACTGTATGACCCAGCAACTCTACTTCTAGGTATGTACCCAAAGGAATTCTATGGATTCACCACATTTTTTTTCCTCCATCCACCAGCAAATGGACATTTGAATCATTTCCATTGTCTTTGGCTATTACGAACGTGCTGCTAGGAATATTTATATACGTGGGTTTTTGTGAAAAGTACATGTATTTTCAACTGTCTTGGATATATGGCTAGGAGTGGAATTTCTGGGTCATATTTGGTAATCCTGTATCTAAATTTTTGAGGCACTGTCGAACTATTTACCACAGTGGCCGCACCATTTAAATGCCAGTAACATTTGAGATCCCATTTCTCCACATCCTCACCAAAACTTCTTTTCCTTTTATGACATCATAGCCACCCTAGTGGTCACAAAGTAGTATCCTAGGGTTTGGACTTTTCCTAAAGGTTGTGGTGTTGAGCATATTTCCTTTTCCTTAGTAGTCACTCATGTGTGTTTTCTGGATAAAGTCTATTCACATCCTCGACCCATGTATAAAATTGATTTTGTATCATTTTGTTACTGAATTGTAAGCACGCTTTATATATTCTTGACTCTTATCAAATATATGACTTGAGAATATTCTTTCATTCTGTGAGTTGTCTTTTTTACTTTCTTGAGAGTGTCCTTTGACACACGAGACTTTTTAATTTTGAATAGGTCCATGTCTTCTTTTTCTCCCTCTTTGGTTACTTGTGCTTTGAATGCCAACTTTCATTACTAGCTAAGTACTTTCTCTCTTTATTTTCTAGGAAACAAATCTGGTGAATCATTGGCTCCTCCATGGACAAACGAAGGGATATAAGGACAGTAAGTAGTGGAGAGATATCAGAAGGTAAAACACAAGCACCAACGTTAGGTTTTCAGCAAGGGCTAGGAGCAAGGAATCGCTCCTTTAAAAGAGTGCAGGGGATCCCTTCCTCCCAAAAACTGTCCTGTGTGGCCAACCTGACACTTGGCAGCTGGCTGCCACCCAGTGGTGGAAGAGAGAAAGGTTTAGGGGGTACTAGTTTACAATTGCTAGTTGAGCAATTAAACACTTCATTTAAAATTTCAGATAGGTCACTTGTTAGAGAAGGAGGTGTTTGGCCTTTGGATTGTTTGTGGCTCAGTTGGGTTTTGGTGAAAGACAAACTTGACTTCATACACTTAATACTGGTGATATTGGATCACCAGTATTAAGGTGAAAGACAAACGACTTCATACACTTAATACTGCTGATAGCGGAGCCCTGCTTCACACAGCAGGGGCTCCATCAGCAAGCAGACACCATCATTTTAGGTGGGACAGCATGCTTCAAAAAGCTTGCTGTTACACTACCTCTACATCTTATGGATTTCTGACCTGCAAACATTAAGTCCCTAACTTGAGGTGATTTTCTAGCAGTTAAAAATTTGTTAGAATGAAGCTGTGACTATGAATCAGAGCATACACATAACCCCTTACGTTTAAGCTGACTTTACTACAAGCTCTACATGATCAAAACAAGCAACCACAACTAGAAGAGGGCAGAGTGAAAGACACATTCAAAGGACTAATTATTAAAAAGTATAACGCAGTAATAACAGCTGCAGGGTTATGCTTCAACTCAACTTTTGATCTGTTAGTAACGCAAATCCATCTTGAGTGAGCCACAACAAAAGGAGAATTCATATTTAACATTTTGGGCTATCTCAAAACCAAAAGAGGGCCTGCTTTAACATTATCCAAATTATGAAAGAGCAGTGTGTGTTAGGGGACCTCATGGATTTGAGGAATTTAAACCCAGACTTAAACTCTTCCTCAGTCCCTTTCTGTGTTTCACTGTGTGTTGACTTTAGCCTCTTTCTACAAACAAGCATTCCCACATAGAAAGAAACACAACCATTAAAAGGCTTCATATTTTATGTTTCAGTTTCTACCAGAAAGGGTCTACATGCATCAGGATTCAGTTGCAGAAAATAGAAGCTTCTTTTATAACTTTAAGCAGAAAGCATCCACGTGGTATGTTTCGCCACATGAAGTTTTCTGCCTCCATCACTCCTAGAGTTCAGTGTTTACAAAATTGCTAGAAACGCTGGAGGTACAGGCTCCAGGAGAGCTTCCAGGACTGTTTCAGGGACCCTGCTGCAGAGTCTGTTGGCACATCAGAAGGCCCCCCAGTTCGAGGGCTCTCTCTGCAAGTGAAATGGGTGTCCCGTGTTCTGCTTCTTGACACCCATAAAGCTAGGCACCAGCGCCTGGGACTTCAGCTATGACTGTACACAAAATCCAAACACCGGCACACTGTGCTTGCCCAGAAACAGCCCCATAGTGTGCAACCTTCTGCCTTTCAAATCTCTCTGGGGCATCTGTGTAGAGTCATTTAAGTCACATGAAAAGCACAGCTATAAGGGAGTCTGAGTAATATGTTCTGCTAGGAACAGAATGTTTATGTCTCCCCCAAAAGTCCTGTGTTGAATCCTAGTCTCAGATGTGATGGTATGAAGAGGTAGGACCTTCTGAGGTGATCAGGACATAAGAGGGGATTCCTCTTGAGCGGGATTAGTGCCCTCATAAGAACAGCCAAAGAGCTAGCTCTTTACCACACAAGGCTGCAAGAAATTGGCAATCTGCACGCTAAAAAGAGCCCTTACAAACCCTCTCCCACCAGGGGAGCAAAGGCTAACCGCTAAGACAACTCTGGGCCCTTATCAGCTTAAAGAAGGGATCAATAGAACCAACCCAAACAAGCTTTACTAACTGGATTTTATTGGCCATGTATTTGCCTTTCTACAATCTGCTGTCCTAAAACCTGAAGTTCCTTTCCTTTGTGTTGTCATTTCTCTATAATTGATGCTATATAAACTGAAATTTAAGCAACCTCTTTGAGAACTATTCATTGCTTGGGGGTGTTCCATGCATACATGAAATCTTTATGTGTTAAGAAACTTTCACTTACTTTTCTCGTTAATCTATTTTTTCTTACCATGATGTGTTCCAACTAATAATTTAAGAAAGCCGAAAAAAATTTTCTTTCCTTACAAGCACTTTTTTTTGGTTTGAGTGTTGTCAATCAGTTTGGGTTGCTGTTACTAACGTACGATAGCATGGGTGGCTCAAAGAACAGATACACAGCTCACAGTTCTGGCAGCTGGAAGTCTAAGAGCAGGGCAGCATGGCCTGGCTCTGGTGAGGGACTCTTCCTGGTTTGCACCCTTTCATATCCTCACACGGCAACAAGAGGAATCTCTGGGCACTTCATCTCCTTATAAGGGACTTACTTCACTATGGGTTTCCCCCCTTGTGACCTAAACTAACCCTGGTTATCTCCTAAAATCCTCACTTTCAAATCCTTGGAGATTAGAGCTTTAACATAATGAATTTTGGAAAGACACAAGCATTCAGCCCATAGCACATGGTGTGCATCCACTTACATACAACCTCTGAGTCCTGGAGAAAAAACTCACGGATGAAGGGTGAGCCTGAGATGCAATGGATGTGATAGTGTTTTGGGGAAAACAACCTTGCCCACATACTCTCACCCACTACCATTAGCACTTCTCAATTCTGTTGGCAAATATGCAAAATCTTATCAGGAAAAAAGTTGCTTTGAAATGCAACTTTTAAAATGTAAAATGTAAGGAGGTCAGAGATTCTCATTACTGTTCTGAAAAACAGCTATGTATTTTACTCTGTTTTTTTTTTCCTGCTTAGATCTCAGGAAGAGAAATAAACCAAGGAGCTGATTGCTTTAGTCATTTATGAAAATGGCTAGAATTGGAACAGATAAAAACAAAAATTCTTACTAGTGGGCAAAATACCACAAAAGCTTACCACAGACCACAAGTTTTATGACAATAAATTAGCATAGTGCGTCTCCAAAATTCAACTATGCATGCTTGCCCTGACCAAAACATAGTCCCCCACTCCCATTCCACGCACATTCATCGTTCACTCTTAATGTCCCAGGTTATATTCTGTCAATCCAGATGTTAAGCAGACAGACTTTCTTGAGATCACATAAAATGATGGCATTGCAAAGAAATGCCTTTCACATCCAATGTGATACAAAATGTAAGCTGAACTAACCCTAGGCAAAAAGTCAAGGTGGGCCTGACTAATTGGTGATGTCTGGCACTGCCCCAAATAGGAAACCCTCTCGGCACGTGCAGCTTCCTGACCACCTGACTTTGGCTGTTTCTCTTAATCAACAAAATGAGAGCTAAATATATTTGTCTTAACCATTTGAATGAGTTTGTCCCACACAAAGTGGATATATTCTCTTGCACAAGAGAATGCTGCTTTGTTAATAGGAAATTAAAAGAATCTGATTTTCTTTTCTTTTTTACCAAAAAGGTTAGAAAGGTGTCACACTCATCTAAGTGAACAGTGATTTATGTGAGGAGCAGAGAGACATATAGATTTCCAGGCTCACCTCATCTTCCCAGCAGTTTCTCAGTTATCATTTTACTCATTTTACAGAGAAGACATCTGAGGTTCAAAGAGAAGGAATAGCTTCCCCAAAGCCCCTTATCTGCCTGACTTCAGAGCACCCTGCGGCCAACTGTGGTCTCTGTAAAAGAAAACTCACATAATACCATTTCCCTGCTTAAAACTCCCAAGTGATTTCACATCAACTTTCTAGGGACAAGACTCTGCCCACAGTCTGCAGGACCCATCACCATCTGGCCTCTGACTTCGCCAAACCAGCCAAGCTGGTTCTCACCTTGAGACCTTCACCTTGCTGCTCTCCTGCCTGGGATGCTTTTCCTCTCCTTCCCAGGGAAGTTGTTCCCTGGATATTCCAACTTGCTTTTTCCTGGCCACACAATGGACAGTAGCTCCTCATCCTTGCTTTATCTCATTTATTGCACTTATCACTTGTTTGAAATTTACTTACATATTCACTTAGATTACTGATTTGTTACCTAAGCTGCTGAGAGACAGGGACTTTTCAAACTTCTTACTATACCTTCCATGTCTTACAAGAATGACTGACTGACTGACGGAATGAATGAATGGGAGCTGTCTTAGCCTGCTTTGTGGCAATAAACACCACAGACTGGGTAATTTATAGTGAGCTTGGGACAGGAGATTAGGGCATGGCAAAGCTGGGTGGGGAAATAGGTGTGACCTATTAACTAGAAACTCCCAGGATACATGCACAGAACAGTTCCCAAAGCCCTGTATGTACACTTCTTATGAGAACTTGAGCAAGTTTTTGATAGGACGGCCTAGACCTGACATCAACCTGAGGAGTGAGTGCTACAGAAAGGACAGTCCACACTGAGTTTATGCCACTGTGTTCTCTCTCACACAGTGGCCCACACTCACATTGTGGAGTGTACTTATTTTCCTACTTTTCCCTGGCGTAAACTCACTCTGCAGACCCTATTTCTTTCCTACCTTTAATAAAACTTTGCTACCATTTGTGCTTTTCTGACCAATTCTTTTCTCAGGACAGAAGGACTCTAAAAAGCAGAAGAGGCTCTGGCACTACAAAATCCAGTAACAAGCTGAAATGTATTGGTTCAGAGTTGTGGAAGCTGGGAACTCCAATATGGCATTGGTATCTGATGCACCATCAGATGGCAGAAGGAAAAACAGAGAAAGTGTGAGGAGGCGAAAGCCACCCTTTTATAATGGCATGAATCTATTAGTGGGCAATGCCCTTGTACCCTAAACACCCATCACTAGGCCCAACCTCTCAACAGTTGCAATAATGATTACCTTTCTGGTACATGAGTTTTTGAAGGGACAAAATATTCAAGCCATAGCAGAATCATAAAAGAGAGGTTTTTTAGGATGCCCCAGACTTTTTGTTTTGGCTTGTAGTGATCTTGGCACTCTCCTTGAATAGGAACAACCCAAACAAGACTCACACTTGGTCAAGGGGGATTGCTCAGTGGAAGAGTACAATATAATTCTTCCAAAAGTTAAAAATATTACTCTCAAACAAAAATAGATGTGTAAGGATTTGACCCACTAATGAAGAAACCAATAAGATGTTAAAATCATGAGAAAATACCTCTTATAGAGGGGCAATTTTTCAGAACTTCACTTTCTGCAGTTTCTTACAATAACCACTTCAAGACAGTCAACATACCAGACAGACATATTTGGGGCTTGCATATTCTGGTCTCCTACAGTCATATTTAGGGTAATGTGTCTTGCACCCCAACAGAACTATGTACCTCACTGAGTTACAGTTCAACAGTCACTAGTTTCTCAACATAGTTCAGAATAATTTAAACACAATAATTATTATTTTCATAATAATATGTAGAAACTAAAGATAAGAACAGAGATGAAAAGGTTTTTGTATGTGAGAAAAGGAGGAGAAAGATGACTAGATCACTAGACATCATGAATGTAAAAAGCATTGATTTAAATCTGCACAATAAACCTTATTTTTGCTTAAGATATTTTTCTTGGCATCCCCCGTGTCCTCCTTTCTATTTCAGCAGATCATATTTGACCTTTGGGTTTAAAGTCTTTCTCTGAGGTCTACTCTAGAGACCTACGTGTCTCTGGAGTTTCTCCCATGTATACAGGAGGTATACACGTCAATGAACTTCTGTCTCCTTTTCTTTTGTTAATCTAACTTTTGCATTACGGAATTATCCAACACTGTCTACCCCTTTACAAGTTGTCTTTTGACTTCCCCTCGTTTTTGCCCAGCATTCTAAATTCTAAAGAAAAGCTGCAGCTAAACAGTGAAGATGTTAACTGCTAAATGCTCTTTCTTTAGATCTATAGACTCTAGAACATCTGGCAGCCCTCAGATAATATCAGAAGGCATAATGCCCTGCCATATTCTAGTCCTGTGCATCAACTAAAATAAAGCATGTAAATTACTGTGAGGTTTGGCTTGCATAAAAATGGTGTGGTTGTCTGAAGAATTATAAGTTAGCCCCAGGATGTAGAGGCCAATGGTGATGTTCCAGCGAGAAAAGGAACAGAAAAAGAAACACATATTCTGGATGACGAAGACCCTGCCCAGCACATAGTCTTTCTGACCACTGCCCCTTTGCACCTGCCCTCTCTCCCTAGAAAACTCCTTTCAGGCACCTGAGTTATCTGAGACAGTCTTATTTTGAGAGATAGTGACCACCACCCCATCTTCTCAGAGTGCTGGTCCTCCAATATGATTGATTTCCTTTCACTCATTGTTACCTCTTGAATATTAGCTTTCAATCTATGAACAGACAGACTTAGATTGAGTCACAATTCCAGTTAAGAATCATGAAGTGTAGAGAAAAAATTCTTTTTCTTCCCCTACAGTTCCAAGATTATTTGGCCCTACAGGAAGACACAGTGGACCATAGTAGACGGAGTGCAAAGTTTAGGGAAGTGGAGGAAGATTACGGACTTGGAGTCTGGCAGAATCATTTCTAGAGATTTTTAAAAACCTCACTGATCCCCTAGATGGAGGCAGTAGAACAATATCTATAAATGCAAAATTGGGGGAGAGGCAAGGCCAATTTTCAGGTAACACTAGGCTGAGATTTGTCACATCCTTACCTTTCCATGGGCCTCTGACCCATGCCAGGAGCATTTTGACAGTGAACTCTGGTGCAGTGAGAACCTTTCACCCCTGCATTTTTAGCATCCATGAGCACCGTCCTATGGTCATGCGGAGCCTTCTCTCGAAGACAGGATGTCTACCCTATGGCGTGAGACATTTCACTGGGTTCTCACATACTACTGCCCTTCATAGTCATTTCTGAAATGACAAAGGGTTTTTTTCCCATATAAAACGGACATTATTTCTTGGGGCTCTCTCTGCCAAGTGCTGCAAAGTCAGTATTGGAAAACACTGACTCTGTAGCCATGGAAGCTTCGTTAAGCACTCCGAATGCCTAGTGAAAATTCCCAAAACATTTGTCAGAGCTCCCAAGAGTTGATGAAAGAAACGTCTCGCTCTGGTGGGTTTCTTCACAGTCAAGGAGCCCTGCTACAATGCTGGCTTTGTAAGGTGGCCTTAGCCCCCGGGTGGGCCCCAAACTGAATGAGTCTCTAGCTTGACCCCAGCTGGAAAAGTCAAATGTGCTGGGGTAAAAAGTCTTGGAAGAAGAAAAAGGCTACTCATTAAATTGTCCAGCATATAAAACACAGTACTAGAGATAGAGGGAAGCATAGTTTCTCAGACCCCAAAATAGTGGTTTCCAGTATATTCATCATGAGGGATCTGCTCCAGGGTTGAAGGACTGA